AATTTATTTATTTTTAATTTTTAATTTTTTAATAATTATATTGAGACTCGTTTGTACTTTTGTATTTTAAAAAATAATTTTTAATTTTTAGTAATTTATTTAGGATTCATTTGCACTTTTTTTAGAAAAAATAATATCTAATTTTTTTAATAATATATTTGACACTCATTTACATTTTTTAATTTTTATTTTTTTATAAGTTATTTGAGACTCGTTTGCATTTTTAAAAAAAGATGAGGACTATAGTTGCAATTAATTTTTTAAAATTTAAACGAGAGTGTACCATTTGCCATTTCACAATTTTTAATTGAAAATAGATGAAAATGACATTTTGCGCAATAAAAAATGAAGATAATGATGAAAATAGCAAAAAATGAAAGCTAAGATCGTTCTCACACTAACAGTGAAATGTGGGAATGTTGGGTGGTAATTACCCTTTTGAAAAAATGGGGCCGAAAGCTCGTTGGTCCAATGGTAGATTGAGTTGACTTTGAGAGAAATATTCCTTTTTATAGTGAGTCACGAAAATGTACTCAATTTTTTATAAGCTTAGTGTTCTCCACATATACACCCCACTATTTAGAATTTTAGGGTGAATTTAGTATTTCTTAATTAAAATCGTAATTAATAAATTTGAGTGAGCAAAACTATATATTTAAATAGTATGCTGAAAAAAGGAAAGATAAATGATGCTTTGTAGTTTAATTACATAGACGGTAATTTTTTTTTTCACCTCTTTCCTTAATTGGTGACTACACGGTGAAATCTTTCACTAAACATGTAAAAAGAAATTGGGAGTATGAATCGAGAATAAAACAAAAACTAATTTATTTTTCGATTTCTTATTTTCAATTCGTCCAAAATTCTCATTATTACGGAGATTCAAAACTCTGAGGAGTACATACATACTAGATAAGTATTCCAGATGATCAACGTCACAAACTTTTGATACTAGTTTAACTCAATACGTATCATTTTGTACATCTTCGAGTCGCATTAATACGAACTTTTGTAACTTTCTCCAGATATATGTATACACAAAAAGACACGATTTCTAATAAAACGCATTATTCCTTATATACATAATTGCAATGTTTGTCCTCAATTTATGATATCAATAGCAAACTCATCCTCAACTTTAAAATGGAGCATGTTAATCACAAATATATCATTATCGTTGTAACAGTTTGAAATCAAATTCCGACGTGAATCTCGCATTTTCGACTATATTGAATAAGGATTTGCTTTTCGTGTTTAATTTTTTAAAGTGATGCATACTTCTATGAAGATCTGATGATAATTAAATAAAGAATCGAACAATTATAGTCTTTATAATTGATTTTGCAGCAAAGAAAGGTCGAGAACTAATTTCCTTCTAGAAGTTAGAAATTAGCTTACACTGGATAGGACCAATAGGTTAGGGGTATTAAATGGCGTGAGTCGAACTACTCGGCTTCCTAGGTGAGTGTGTTCGGCTCACCCCACGAGTTCGCATCTTGGTGGGGCTCATAAGCTGCACACGACTTGCTATACTTTTTTTTCTCTCTCTCTTTACTAAAATTGCATATTTCTCTCAATTCATCGAGCTGACTCATGAGTCATTGATGATAAGTTGCGAAGATTCTTATATGAAAATTTATGATTCTTTCTTTGCCACCCAATTATAGTGGCCTCATTCAGTTGCTTCCTCCTTGAGCCATTTTCATCCAATCACTCTGGTCTTGCTTTACACAATTGGGAACTTCTTACAAGAAATAGAGATTTTAGCCTTATCTTATGTGTCGTCACCTCTCACTTTCACCATTATTTGCACTAATTTTGACTTTCTATAATGCACAAATCCGACAAACACAAAATTACATCATTCTACATTTGGAAAAAGTTGATCATAAAGTTATTGTTAGTTCACCGCACTAACAATAATTTTAAAATTAAACATACCTACGTAAAATGCATGATCAAGTGAATTAATATAAAATAATTTTGTATTCACACGAAAAAAATTCTCCCTAAAAGGTAAAATGAAAAATTAATTGTATTCAAAATTAAAATTTTTTAACCCCCCGTAAAATTGATACTTCAAAATCAATAGTATAGAAATGCATCAATTTTCTCTTCATTGATATTATGCTCAAGATTATTGGAGTGAAACGAAGGATCTAAGAAAAAATATGTGTATGTACAAATTCTTAGTGACTAAATATATAGTAATATATATTATTTTTTAACGATTTAACTTTGTAAAAGTGTATTCAACATGTCATCATAGTATATAAAAGTTTCAAGTTCAAGTTTCATCTCAATTTATTGTTAGAGAGAATATTGGAGCTATAGATTCTGGAGTTGCAAATTAATGTGCTGCAGATATATTGTGACAGTTAACTCCTGCATTTTCTGAAGATGGTTATTTTTTGAAAGGTGTGGAAGCTTTTTGTTTATGCTAGATCAGGCGTGTACCCTTTTCTGCTATGATACTATGTAAAATGTAAAATGAAGCAGAGATATTACATAGAATTCAAAGAATTACTTTGAATGTTTTGGCTCACACACCAAATCCAATGTATCATTTCTTTATATAGAGATACATTGAAACTACTCTCAAAATATCAAGGAATTAGTTAGCAAGAATCAATCAAAACAATATTAAGTTTAAACAATTGAATTCAAAAAATAACTATCCTCAGAAAATATAGGGGTTAACTGTCACAATATATCTGCAGCACCTAAATTTGAAACTCCAAAATCTGTAGCTCCAATATTCTCTCTAACATTTATGAAACTATACTCATGTCAAGTTTTTGATAAAAAAAATTTAATTTAACTGTTCTCGAACATTGAACAACTTTAACTTTTAAATAAGATGGTTGAATGCCGATGAACTTGTAAAAAAAAATCTTGAATAGATTAGGGTAGATACCATGTATATTCATAAGGGAAAGTTGCGACATTGGTCGCTCATCTATGGTCTCAACAATAAGATAGTCATACCCTATAAAAAGAAGCCAAATAATTCTCAACCTTTCGTTATAAATCTAGTTTACTTGGCATTGTCAACTAGCAAAAACCATCGAAATCTTTATTAAATTTTCGTTTGATGCTCATATTAATCTTTATGGAATCTAGATTTTGCTTCACTACTTAAACTGATGTATAGAAACTTGAATCGATTTTAATTTTCATAATGAACACGTGATGATTTTACTAAAATTTAAACGGTTTCTTACTAAAAAATTAAGGGGCCGTTCTCTTTATGTTTCGGTTTTGTGTTTTGTATTTTGAATTTATTTTGAGTTTTGTGTTTTGAGTGTCCATTTTGAGATTTTTGAAAATGTGTTCTTTTTGACATTTTGAAAAATGGTTTTCAAAAATTAGAAAATACAAATCACGTTCCCTTCCCCTTCTCACTTCACTGCGTCTCTCTCTCTCGTGCCTGCCTCTATCTCTCTCTCTTTTCCCCTCCTCTCTCTCTTCTTCCCCAACTTCTTCACAGGCGGTAGGTTTGGGTGTTGTGGTTGACTGCGGTGGTTGGGCTGAGAGTTTTTGCTGTGGTTGGTCCGCGACGCCACTGTGGTGGCTATGGTGGCGGTTGGGTCGCGATTTTTTGGCTGTGGCAGTTGGGGTATTGGCTGTGGCGGTTGGATAGCGATTTTGGCTGTGGCTGGGCGGTGGTGGTCTTTTTGGTAGCGATTTTGGCAGTGTCGGTGGGGATATTTCTGGTGGCAATTTTTCGGTGGTTGGGGTCGTGATTTTGGCTGAGCGGTGGGGTTTCTGGCAACGATTTTGGTGGCCGTTCAGTGGTAGTTGGTGCAGCGGTTCAGTGGTAGTTGGTGGTGCAGTGGTGCTGGACTGGTGTGGTGGTGGACTGGTGGTGGACTGGCGAAAATGACCATTTCCTTTGTTTTGCAATTTTTCTCTTTTTTTGCTTGAAAACGACCAAAATGATGTTTTTATCGTTTTGTGTACAAATTTTTTATCGTTTTCAAAAACGCGTTTTCATTGTTTTGGAAAACCGAAAATAGAAAATGACCCAAAACGGCGAAAGAGAACGGCCCCTTACTAATTGTGCAGTAAACGAAAGGTTGAGCACCAATTTTTTTTTTCCCAAGTTTAAAAAACAACTTGCTACTAAGAAAATGCATTAAAAACCAATCTTGCAATTTTCCCTACATTCATAAGTTAGATGAGAGAGCTGTGAAATGAGCTCATGTTCGATAAAGCTTTTTGATATTAAAAGTTAATGGGTCTCCTAAAATATGTGGTTAAAAAGTGAATAAAAATTATGAATTAAATAAAATATATGGTTAAAGACGAAGTCTGATCAGTTGAAAATTGAAAAGAAAAAAAAATTTACCAATCAATAACTGAATTTCATCTTCATCAAGAGGGAAGGAAAAAAAAAATATTAATAATAGCTGCAATAGGATACAAGTGAAAACGTCTTTTCGTGGTGGAGAATAAGAAGGGTCCCACTCCCATGGACACAATTCCCACAGCCTTTTTGGGCTACTACAAATACCCCAACCACTCTCGCTCTTTTCATTTGTAACAAGCATCCAAACTCACAGCCTCACTATTATATCCTCAAACATCATCTTCATATACATAATCCATTTCTCCCTTAGCTTGCAACTGTCATCCACCTCCATTGGATGCTCTTGTTTGCTGATAAAGAGTAACTTGACATTTTGTTTGCTACTCTTTTCTTTTTTCTGATGATTTTATAACTTGGTGTAGCCGAAAAATTGTTTGCATCTTTTTCAATCTACCGAAAGAGCGTTGAACAGTGTGAAGTCGAATCATACTTTACACTTGAAGTCCAATCATACTTTACACTTATCCTCTCACCGATCACATTTCTACTACATAGAAGGAATTTAGGCGGGTCCTTTAGAGTACGTGAAAACGTGTGCGATCAACTCGTACTCAAAAACTCGCGAAGGGACAGAACCCGGGGAAGGGTGAAAATCGAGAAAGGACCTTCACCTTTAAAGGTCGAGGAGATGGCACCAATTAAGGCCATTGAGAAACAAGGTATAGTCACCATTCTTGGTTCTGATATTAAACAAGGAGCCTCCTTGAGAAGAACACTTTCGGCTGATATGTCTTCAAAGAAATGGCTGTCACAAAATGGGTTTTTCTCTACGAAAAAGATTGCATCGTCTGAAGGACTAGTGATCAACGGTGCTGATTCATCTTCTTCATCTGAAAGTGAAGAAGAATATGATGAAAATATGCCAGGACAAGATGAAATTTGGAGGTCGATTCAATTACAGAAAGAGAAGCAGAATAATCAGACAGATCAAAATCCATCAAGATTAGATTCTTGGGGTACAATTCTATCTCAAAAGAATTATCAAGATTCGTCCAAGGAGTCTCCACCACCTTACGTTCATCCTCTTGTTAAAAGATCGGCCAGCAGTTTGAGCCAGAAAAGTCTTGAAATGTGCACTGAAAATCTTGGATCCGAAACTGGCTCTGATGTGTTCTCCTTGGACCCGGGCCCTGACCCTCCTCAAACAGAAAATTACAGCCAAGAAAAAGTGTCCAAAACTTTCGGAGATATTAATGTTGTCAAGTACAAAACAGTGTCCCCTCGGCCACTTCCCCCTCCACTTTCTTCCATTGGCGGTGGCGATGGAAATTCACTTCGTATGCACTGCCACCGCCAAAATGGGAGGTTAATTCTTGAAGCTGTGTCCATTCCTTCAAAAAACTGCTTCCGGGCTAGCCGCCATGAAGGCCGCCTTCTCCTCACTTTGATCGACCCACCCACTTTTCAGGCTGCAGCCATGGCTGAGGAGGTGGCGTCACCGGAACTGGCACCGGCAGAGGTGGAGGTGGAGGTGGAGGTGGAGGTTCGGTCTGTGATTGAGCAGAATCCAAATCCAGTAGGTAGAATTTTGAGTGTGGATAAATCAGGATTAATGGTGAAGAGCTTCGTGGGACTAAGAAACAAGATGAATTCTACATGGTCTAACAAATTCAACAAAACTGTGAAGTTAATAGATGTTGGGGAGGAGCTGCCACTTTCATCACTACCACCCAGAGTAGCTCGACTTATTTCCACGCCACCTCCACCGCCGCCACCATCACTGGCCGCTGTCGCCTCCTTTAATGCCTATGAATACTTCTGGCGGAAAAAGACAAGCTTCATCACTACTCCACAATGCATTCCCCTCAAAAACAACCACAAGATTGCCCATTTCAGTGGTGAAAACACGTATGAACACCAAGATTTGGTGCTCATTAGCCCTTTGTCGAGGGGATGCAAAGAGCAAAGGAAGTCTCTATTAATTTGGGAGCCATACTGCATTGCCACCTCCTAATGATCAAAATTTCTCAAATCCCGGCTTTTAATTAATCGATTATAATTATTACTAAGTTTGTCGCTCTTTCTTCTGTCGAAGAGATTTATGTTGCCAAATAAAAATGAAACTGAATACTTTAAATTGCTTTACATAATGAGTGTTTATGCAAATTAGTTATCACGGCGGCTTACCTATTTTTCTAGCGAAACCTGTCTTGATACAAATGTGATGTCTACTTTATTATAGTTCGATACTCAAATTAATCAAGTATTGAAAAAGTCAAAACACTAATGACATTTTCGACGTGACAGATTCAATGACTAAAAAAATACTCAATTATAATTTGCTATTATATACTATTTAAATATTTAATAATACTTCCCAAGCGAAAATAATCAATCATTAAAACGCTAAGGTGCGTTTGATTGCAAGGGTGGAAAATGAGTGGAAAGAAAATGTTTTAAAGGGAAAAGATTTGCCTGGAAAATATTTTGCAGGGAAAATGATTTCAAGGGTGTTTGATTGGTATAATTTTCCATCCGAAATTTTTTTAAATTTTCTATTCATTTGGCTTTATTTT